AATTGCAAACTGGGAAGTGGGAGCATGGGGTGTTCAAAAAGGTGAAAAACAGATACGTACAATTTGTTTGTAAAAAAGGAATCAACTTTTTTAGACAAGGAATCAACCTGAAAAAAAGAGTGGACAAGGGGTGTTCTAAAGGTTGATTCCTTGTCCATTCTTTTCAGCCATCCTTCTTTCCAACCGGCCGCTTCCCTGGGCTTCGAGGAGGTTTTCTCGAAAGAAACTCGGATCCTTGGGTTAAGGATGGACATGGAAGGGTGGCACTAGATTTGAGTAGATTTGAGTTCTCCCCGGATCGTCTTTTTGAGGTGCCCAAGCCGTTTCAGGACCTCCCCTGTGCGAAGATGTGGCGAGCATGTTTTGACAGTGCTTCGGATTGTCAACTCTGATGAGTCGGTGTTTTTTCTCTGAGTGGGGAGTTGCAGGTGACACACAATTTTTGAAGGACGGAATTCAGCGCGGCTCCTCTCTCCAGTGTTGAACAAAGTGGGCGAGTTATGAGACGCATCCGGAACTCGGACGCGTGTCACAAAGTGCTGCACTGGTGCTCGGCTTTCCTATTGCGCATGGCAGTCAACGAGGGTTTCCTGACATGTTGGAATCGCACTAGGCGTCCAGGAACATATCAGGGATTCCAGCAACATGATCTTTTTACTCAGTCTCCCAGGCGTGCTGCGGCCTCTCTTTGGCTAGTCATTTGCGCTGTCCTGCTGATTTGAGTCATGGCAGCCCCAAAGTGTGATCACCTGCCTACGTTCAGGTTCCTTGATAAAGAGAGTTTAGGAACGTGCTATGTTCTACTATTCTTTCAATCCGGGGACCCTTACCCCTACGTTTGCCTTTATATTCATAGGAAAAACATAGAGGGTCGCTTCAACACAATGTCTGTGTTTTTTTGTCTCAGCGCTACACTCTTCCCAGTTGATCCACACACGCGTTTGTGAACCGTGCACCTGTTGGTGTCTCTCAGCCATCCGGTTCCTTAGCTTTTAGCTTTTTATATAGTTGGGTTCGTGGTATGGTTTCCGAATTTAACCCACTAAGGACTAAAAGCTATTCACTTTCAGCACGGGATTAGACAACGGACAGCCAGACCTGCAAAGCCTTTCACAGGTTCTCGAGTCACCCAGGGGTGTTTCAACGGAACCGGTGTTGTTTTTCTTTGAATTTACACCAGCCATGTTCATTTTGAACTTCCTCATTTTTGTGTTTTTTCCACACAGACGAAGAGAGCAAGTAAGTGAGTGAGCGACTGCAAAGCAAAAAACCACCTCGGTCCCTTGAAATCGCGTCTGGGGGGTAATGTTCTTTTTGGAAGCCAAACACCGGAGCCTGTTTTGACCCGAGGTCGGGCACCCTGAGACCTTTGATTTCTCGTGGTACCGCTTGCCTGCAGCTTGGCCAACCGCGTCAACGACATCGGCCATTTTGGCGGAGCATCGCCAGACTTAGCTTACCTATTGACTTGTTTTGTGATATGTTTATTTGGTTTGTGTTGTTTGTTTGTTCTTGTTTGTTTGTTTGTTTGTTTGTTTGTTTGTTTGTTTGTTTGTTTGTTTGTTTGTTTTTTTGTTTGTTTGTTTGTGTTGTTTGTTTGTTTGCCTGTTTGTTGGTTGGTTGGTTGGTTGGTTGGTTGGTTTGTCTTCTCATGTATATATTTGACCTTTGCCTTTGTCCATGTTTGTACCTGCTTGGTTTCGCCTTTTCAGCCAAACTGGAGCGTCACTTGCGCGGGATCCGAGGAGTCTCTGCCGTTGGGTCAACTCTGGGGCCTTTGCCTCGGTGGCCTGGGCCTCATAGCCCTCCTCTCGGCATTTCTCCGAAACCGACGGCCGGACGCTTCGGACTATGAGCCTTTGGAGGCGTAGATGGGAGTCACGCGCTCCTACCCGACTACCTGGTAGGACCAAAGAAAAGGCGTGGCTTGGGTGTCCGAACCATCTGTCCCTTTCTGCGCCTTCGGCTTTAGGGGTTTTCGTAAACTCACTCATTCGTCATGATTCCCCATAGGATTTCACGCAGAAACACAAGTTGCCTGCAACTAGCACGACACCCATGGTTTTCTATTTGCCCTTTGCAAATCGTTGTGCTTGTTGGAGCGCGAATGCCTAGCCACTGCAAGAACTTGCATGTGAGACAGGGTCGGGCACCTGGGAATCATTGAATTCCAGCCTCTCCTCTTTCCAGAGGATGTGAAGAGGCCTGATGAGGTCAAGGGTTGGCCACATCACCCATCTTAGGCGACATGACGGGTTGGCAAAGTTGGTGACCCCTTTGGGGCTCTGGGGTCACTTTGTGCCGTTCAAAGAGGTCACCAAACAGGGTCACCATTCTGTCAACCCCATGTGTTGATCGGGCCAATGCCTTTTGGCTTACCAACACGCTGCCTGCGAAGCGGAATTCGCACTCGTGTGCAGGTATCGCCTTTGCCTAGGTGAAGCAATTGCACCGAAGGTGGAACAAAGTGTGTCCACCCCATGCCCAGTGTGGAGACAGCATATGTCATGATGTCCTTGCCAAGCGTCTTGAGTTGAAGCGGTTTGTGTTGGAAACGACTTCCCCCCCTTCTGGCAGAAGGCCAACCGACAGCCATCAATGGAAGAGCCCACCAGCACATTCAGCCAGTCTCGGGTCTCTTCTGGGGGTTTCGCCAAAGTGCCCAAGAGATGTGTGTCTCAAAATCTGCGAGATGGTTAGTTCTTTTCCGGTTTTCCTTCAAGGCAGCAGACAACGAGGCTCCCTATTTTGAGACAGATGTTCTTTCTAGTCTTGCCAAGCTGCAGTAGGGAGGGGCAAACTGGCAAGATGTCCAGCCGAATGGCCATGGATTTTAAAACTGGAAGCAAGGACCACCGGGGATGGGTCAAAGCTACACCAGGGACGACAGATTTAGTCAATCTTTGCATTTGTCAGGGTTCCATGTTGGGTGCCTATTGTTGACCCACCAACTGTTTTCTAGTCGCGCCCTTCGAAAAGCCAACTTCCAACCTGCTGGACCATGAACATCAACACGTGTAATTGTAGTGTGGTCTGTGTTTTCTTGGGCCTTGTATGTATCAGCCAGCAACAGGTTCTAGCTGTAGCTATGACATGTTAACTGTTCGCAGCATGTTGCTTAGTGTTGTGTTTGTTGCTTTGGACAAGGTGAGAAGAGTGTAGCATTCACTTAGCATTATTTTACCAGACAGCACTGGGGTTCATTGCTTACTTTTGGAGAGTGAAGCAACGACGTATTCGAACTTATCATCCAAATTCCATCCTTCCAACCCCCCCAAAAGCTCCTACTCACAAAGCAGCACACATTGGGCCAACCGGATACCCAAAAAATAACACATGTCTTTGGGTCTGTTGCCTTTTCAGTGTGTAGAAGCATTTTGTTCATCCAGATGTTTATTTGTTTTCTGCTCCGCTATCTTCACAGCTCCGCATTTGGCGTTCCTTTGCCAGTCGCGGCTGGGCAATCGATGTACAGCTCTGTCATCGGCCGAAAAGCGAAAAGCTGTCAGTTGAGTAGAGATAGTGCCCCCCCTATCCACCAGCAAGCTTCTAAATTCCATCAACCCCTATAAGAAATCTTTCTGAGAAGGTTTTGAACACCTTGCTCGGGGTCAGTGAAGCCATGGGAGCCGTACAGTGAGTGACAATCACTTCGCTTGCCCAGCCCCGTTTCCTGGAATTCTTTGAAAAAGGGGGGAACCAGGTAACCATGTCCATTTGGTGAGCTCGCCAACTAGTTGTTACTCATACACTATCAAAGCGAATTCCAACGTTTGATCTACGAGGACTTGTTCTCAGATATCCTTGTCAAAGCACCTGACAAAAGGTACCTTGACAAAGGAACATCGCCTGACCCGCCGCAGCAACTTGCAGTCAGGATGAGCTTGGTCATTCATCCGGGGCAGACCTGACCAACATTTGCTGGTAGATTCATTCATTCGGGTACAATTTGCCCAGCAAGTTGGCGATGGCTCCTTTCTATGGGGTGTAACTATTTTTGTTTTTTTCCCTCCGGTCAATTCAGCAGGTCAAGAGGCAAGACATAAACCTGTAGGTCCCCAAAGGGCAAGAAGCGATCGATTTGAGCGGCCGATATTCACTGTCTTCCAATTGGAAGGTTGCCAAGCTTAAGAGAGAATGGCATTGGGTGAGGGTGGGAGAAGATAAGGGTTGGACAAACTTGCCTTGTTGGAAGGGCGACCCGAAGCGGTGCGTTCAGTGTTTTTTTCCTCCAACGGCTTCCAGTTGAAACAAAACATCCAAGGTTCGCTTGCCGTTCGGGTGGGAAATCCAAATCCAACCTGGTTGTTTATGCTTTTGGGTGGATGCTGAGAAAGCAACTCTGAAGGTGACCCAAAAAGGTTCAACCTAAACTGCTGCAATGGTTGCGTGGCATGAGAGGCCAGAGACTGAGTTGGAATGACCCCCATAACCCCATTCCCCATGGTGTCCTTTCGGGAATCCCCCAAACGGTTCATTCCCAACGGACTGGGTCATCCCCTACCTACTGAGCCCCAAGGTTGCGAGTCAGTGCTCTCTGGTATGACATGTACGCTGTCCATTCACACTTAGATGTCCGAGGCTTTGGTGGGTTCCATGGTGACGGAGGGCAGGTGTTGCAAGCAACAACCAACTGGTGGTCCGGGGTGTGCATGGCTTTGCCTTGGCCAGAAGGTGCCCTTCTGGCCATGGCCAATTCCCAGGGAAGGAAAGCAACAGGAAAAATACGGTGCCCGCTTGGTTCAATGGTCAAGAAACCGCTTAGAGGATTATCTTCCGCCAGAAACCCGATTGTCCGCCTCAAATATATGTCGGAGAGATGTCGAATTCCGACTTTTCAAGCGACGGTTGGGTAATTTTCACTGCTACGGCATGTGTCCAGCTTTAAATAAATAAATATATATATATATATATGTTTTGTTTCATGTTTAGTAGGGTGCAACCAAATCCGGCGGTGTTTGCTACCACACCCACGGGTTGCACAGAACTGGCTCGACCAGGTGTGGGCCCCTGTGCCTGCGGCGCGGATGTGTCGAAGCTGGTGGAAGCCGAGCAAATGCACGTCGGAGCCTCGGTGGTTGCTTCGCGGTCCGGTTCCTTGGGGTCTTGGGGCGTGTAGTTGGCTAAGTCCCCCAGCTAGGTGGGTGTGGCTCAACATTAAAGAGCTACGGTTACGCAGATTTTAGTCCTTGGTTCCATTTACCAAGGTGCCATTTTGGTACCACTTTTTTTGAGCCGCAGCCAGGTGCCCTTTTTAGCCCGTGTCTTCTTTGGTTGGGAGGGGGAACCCCCTACTAAAATAGACTACAGGAAAAAATCGGGTAGCCATATTCTGACCTCTCTACTGGAGGACCTAGTTGGTTTAGTGGAGGGGTTGCGATGTTCCATCTTCCTAGGGTTTGTGCTGATTCGTTGGATCAGTGGAAGGGTTGCCATTTCCAGCCCCTAGCTGTTTTTGCTTTTAGTTGGTTTAGTGGCTGGGTTTCTGAATTTTACCCACCAAACGTGATTTTCACTTGGCAAGGGATCGGTTTGCACAGCCCAGTGGGGATACGCTGCTCAACGGGTCTTCACTTTGTCCAAGCATTGCACCGTGAGAATCAGGAACCATGGCTTTTTGGACTTAGACTTTTGTCGTACAGTTTCTGAGCCAGTTGGGGTTAGCACCAGGGGGGAGTTACCCTGTTCAACCCAGCCATGGATATTTGGGGAAGCCAAGGGGCCGATGAGTAACTCGCAGCTAAAGAGCAGTGGATTGGCCACCGGGGCAGGCTTGTCTGTTCAGTTCAGTTGGGCAAAACTTGAGGTAGCTTGGAACGATTGGTTCCAGAAATCGTGGACTTGCTCCCTGAGTTCCTCAAAGCTTGAGTCACTTTTTGGGTTGGACCAACGAAGAGTTCTGACCTTCTTGCCCAATCCTCTCAGTAAGTGACTGGAGGTGGACAGGACGGTTTTGGAAGGCTACCATCCGCTTGAAACCGCCTCTTGTTCACCTGGTTGTTAGGCAACAGGTATTGGTTTTGGTGCATCCTAGGTTCCGAAAAGTAAACCTTCTTTTACCAGTCTTGGCATGTTGCCTGTTGTTCTGGTTCTGTGAACAGAATGCAGTGATTGGTTCGTGGCTTCTACAACCAGCCTCGAGTTCATCACGTGGGAAGTTCGAGTAGGCCGTTTAGCGCGACTCGCGAGTCAGGTGAGCAGCTTCGCCAACCTTTGGAAGCACCTCGGTGCGATTCGATTCCCAGCAAGCCCTGACAAGCAGAAGCCCTAACGACGTTACCTTTTTCACAGAATCATCGAGGGTAGTGGGTGACCCCTGAGTGTAGTGCGCGCTTTTCCCTGCCACCTCTCCCGGCACATGAAAATGCAGCGGCACATGAAATTTACGCGTGGTTGGGGAAAAATTGGGTTTGCGTTTTCCTCTTGCTGGATGTGCTGCACTGGAACAGTTTTCCCCGCGTTTCTCGGAAACATTGCCAGTCTTGGCCAACTTTATGTCATTTGGAAAACCTGTTGGTTGTCCAAAGGCCACGGGCTTGCCCAGGGGCTTCCCCAAAATGGCTGGTGTTCTTTTTTGGATTTTCCCTTGGTTTCCTCAACAAAAAGGGATAACTTTGGGTTTCCCCTCCAAAAACAGGGACCACTTTGTGGGTTTCCCTTGGGTTCCTCCCAAAAAAACGCGAAGCCCCCGGAAGACGCGGCGGGTTTCGGCAGCTTTGGGTTTCCGAGGAGCCTGGGTCACGAGAAGCTGAGCAGCCCCGACGGCTTGGTGGCCATCGCGGAGATGGCCGCGGAGTCGAACTTGGCGCCGCAGCATTGGCTCCTCTGCAAGGCGCCGGGCCAAACGCGCCGCCCGCCGGGGCGCGCGTTTTCGCGCGAAGCGCCGGGGCCGGGGCCGGGCCCCGGATTTGTTTGGTTTGGATTTGCGGCCTGGACATGGGAATCCTTTAGAGGATGTCCGGATTTTCGGATCCCCGAAGCCAAAAACCATGGATGACTCTTGGCTTTTCAAGGGGTCACTCAGTGGATCCAAGGCCTAGGCGCTTGGAGCCGAGTTCGATTCACATCGCCGGACTTCGGCAGGGCGATTCGCCGGAATCAGAACCAGGTGGTCAAAGTCAAAGGATCTATTTCCCTTCAGCTGAATGTGGCTGGAATCAGAACGGGTCCACTGGTTCCCTTCAGCCCTCTGGGCTGTTTCCCTTCAACCATCTGGGCTGTTTCCCCTTCAACCTACCCACTGAACGGGGCTGACTTTGATTGCGAGTGGCAGATTCGGTCATTGCCGACTCGCCCAAAAGGACTTGTTTGGAAAGAAGCGGGTACCTGTATGTGTCAAAATAAGGGGGGGGGCTTAAAATCACTGGCTTCCCAGAAAGGGTGGCCTCAAAAAGCACAAACTCCCAGGCGGGCGGGTTTTCCCAGTAGACCTACCAGAGGTTAGGAACTTGTAGGGTCCGGTTCCCCCCTGTCCCTGGTCGTCCTGCAAGAAACTTGCTTCGCAGGGAATCACCAGGGGTTTGGGAATGAACCTGAAAGAGATCCCAGGAATGAACTGAAGCGGAAAGCTGTGGAAGCAACCGCTTTTGTCACTCGTCATTGGCCCCTGGTTGTTTTGTGTCCGGGGTTTGTGTTCGAAGGTAGGTTTGTGTTATATTTTGTTGGGTGATTGTTTCTGTTTGTTTTGGCCGGGACATGGTGTGGCTTTACTGCTCCTTATGAATGGTCTTGAAGTGGCAAAGCTGTGGGCATAAACTCATCGCTGTCAGGCTACATGTTTGGACTGGGTTTTTCCATGCTACCAACGGATGCCCAGACGGTTTGCCTCCACTTGTCGTGCTTTCCGGAAAGCCGTCACCCGTTGTGGGGGATCCCCTTCTATCACAACCGGCCCTTTTCATGGAGGTTGATTGTCTTGCTGGCGCGGTCTCGGCAGAGAATGAAAAATGGGATGACCCGAAGAGAAAACCATCCCCGATTTGGTTTCCTCTAAGGGATCCCCAGGTTCATTCAACCACATGCCGTAGAGATACTAGACGTTCCCATTTCTCCATAAAGTTCAGGGTAGACATCATTGAACATAAGGTAAGTGGGGAATACAGGTTGCCACACCAAAGCTATTTCTACCTGAAGAGCGAAAACCATAGGATAAAACCCAAATTCTTCCATGAAGCGCATTATGAGTAGCACAGTTATCGCACCAGCAAGTTTTGCTCCAGGTTGTCGTTACAGCAAGCTCCGTTTCGGCTTGCGGCTTCAGCGTCGGAAGGCCTCTGGCCGGTTTTGTGTATCCGTAGGCGCGGGTTGCATGGACCCTAACTAGGTCCCCCAGCAATTGGTGCCCGTTCTCATCCGGTTCTTTTTTGGGGGAGGGGGAAACCCCTACTAAAATAGATGCAGAAAAAAAGGTACTTATTCTAACCTCTTTACTGGAGGACCTAGCCAACCTATGACCATTGGATGTGGGTATCTTCAGCGGCCGGTGATCGTGAAGGATTAATCTGTGTGGTTTGGAAAGACTTAAGGATAGAAGCACTTAAAGCACGAGTCATGCATACATTGAGCTGCTGAATCTTTCAAACATTCAACTTGTTTGTTGCCTTCGTGGCTGGTTGCCCCAAAGAAAACATGTGAAACATTTTGCCCATGGTTCATACGCGGGGTGCGTATGGGTGTGCGCTGGTTGTTGAGGCATTTCTTCGGGGGGTTTGCTCCCAACGGCAACCAAAGGAACAGCATGAAAAGACCCATAGGGAATTTCTGTGACTGGCTGGTTGCCCTCAATACCACTTTTCACGCTGGTTGTTCATCCCCAAAAGCCCGGGAACCACCAGCAACAAACCTTGCGCAACTGCAGGAACGCGTGGGAAACCCAGGGACGGGGGGGTTCATCCCAAAAAACAAAAAGCCATGGGCCATGGCCAAAACCAGCCCCCGGCACGTCAACGCGGAGATCGCCGCGTGTGGGAAGTCCGCGAAGCTTGGAGGTGAAAAGATCTGGTGGTCCCTCCTCGCAAGGTCAAGTAACCCTCCTAGGTCCCCCAGCTAGGTGCCGTTTCTTTTTTGGGGGAGGGTTCCCTTACTAAAATAGACTGCAGAAAAAAGGATACCCTTATTCTGGCCTCTCTGCTGGAGGACTCCTCGCTTCTTTTGGAGAGAAGCTGAGCAGGCGGTTTTTGGATGTATCCTAGGAAGCTGGTTAAAACCCGGTTGTTCGGTGCCACTTGCTTTCTTTTCTTTGGAGTGGCTTAGCTTGTTGGTCTCAACAGTTCCCCCCCCACACCCACACACAAACAAACAAACAAACAAACAAACAAACAAACAAACAAACA